CGCCCTCGCCGATTCTGCGGAACCTGCTCAGAGGAACCAAGCCCCTCCCATAGCTTTCGACGTCAATCCCAGACTTCCGAACGATAAGCAAGAAAAGCTCAACGCCCTGCTCCTGCAATACGAAGATTGCTTTTCGTCGTCATCGAAAATTCGGCAGACCCCAATCACGAAACATCGCATCATAACCGAAGAAAATGCCAGACCACTCCGTCAGAGTCCGTACAGGGTTTCGACGCGAGAACGTGAGGCCATCAAGAGACAAGTTGATGAAATGCTGCGGGATGACATTATCCAGCCGTCCAAGAGCCCATGGGCATCCCCCGTGGTGTTAGTGAAGAAAAAGGATGGGACCCTACGTTTCTGCGTCGATTATCGCCGCCTGAACAAAATCACAAGAAAGGACGTGTATCCTCTCCCACGAATAGACGACGCACTTGATCGGCTCCATAACGCCAAGTACTTTTCGTCAATGGACCTCAAGACTGGCTATTGGCAAATCGAAGTCGACGAAAGAGACCGAGAGAAGACGGCGTTTATAACACCGGACGGCCTCTTCGAGTTTAAGGTGATGCCCTTCGGCCTTTGCTCAGCGCCTGCAACTTTTCAACGCGTTATGGATACAGTACTGGCAGGATTGAAGTGGCAGACTTGCCTTGTGTACTTGGACGACGTCGTCGTGTTTTCCTCGAGTTTCGACGAGCATCTTCGGCGCCTTGAAGCTGTACTTCAAGCCATCAAGACTTCCGGACTCACACTGAAGCCAGAAAAGTGCAGATTTGCGTACGAAGAGCTCTTGTTTCTGGGGCACGTTATCAGCAAGTCTGGAGTTCGTCCTGATCCACGGAAAACAGCCGCCATCGCCGAATTCCCGCCGCCCACTGACAAGAAAGCCGTGCGCCGATTTCTGGGCCTGTGCGCCTATTATAGGCGGTTCGTGAAAAACTTCGCCCGCATCGCCGATCCTCTCACTAACCTTACCAAGGCCGACGTGGAGTTCAAGTGGGAAACGCCACAGGAACACGCTTTCCAGGAGCTTAAACATCGCCTCCAGACGCCTCCGTTACTTGCCCATTTCGACGAATTCGCCGAGACAGAAATACATACTGACGCAAGCAGCGTAGGTCTTGGCGCCGTTCTTGTGCAGAGGGCTGACGGACTTGAAAGGGTTATTAGTTACGCCAGCCGATCGCTATCCAAAGCAGAAGCAAATTATTCCACAACAGAAAAGGAGTGCCTCGCCATCATCTGGGCTACGTCGAAATTTCGCCCATACCTCTACGGCAGGCCCTTCAAAGTTGTGAGCGACCACCACGCCTTGTGTTGGCTAGCCACTTTGAAGGACCCTTCAGGTCGCCTCGCACGATGGAGCCTGAGACTTCAAGAATATGACATTACTGTCATTTACAAGTCTGGCAAAAAACACTCCGACGCCGACTGTCTCTCTCGTGCGCCTGTCGACCAACCGCTACCCGACGACCCGGATGACGACTACTTCTTGGGAACGATAACTACCGACGACTTCGCTGAACGACAGCTGGGCCGACCCGGAACTTAAGGCCCTAATAGAATACCTCGAAGGCAGGACCGCCGAAGTCCCGAAGGTATTCAAGCGCGCACTTGCGTCGTTTTTTCTACGAAACGGTCTTCTACAAAAGAAACTTTTCACCGCTTCGGGCTAAGTATCTCCTTGTGGTGCCTTCAGCTCTGCGACCAGAACTCCTGCAGGCCCTGCACGACGATCCGACGGCAGGGCACCTCGGTGTTTCTCGCACGCTCGCGAGGATACAAGAAAGGTACTACTGGCCGCGTCTTACCACCGACGTCACTCGTTATGTGAGGACATGCCGGGACTGTCAGCGACGCAAGACACCGCCGACAAGGCCAGCGGGACTTCTGCAGCCAATTGATCCACCTTGCCGACCTTTCCAGCAGATTGGTATGGACCTACTGGGGCCGTTCCCGACGTCGGCTTTCGGAAACAAGTGGATCGTGGTAGCTACCGACTACCTCACCCGCTACGCCGAGACAAAAGCCCTGCCAAAAGGCAGTGCATCCGAGGTAGCTAAGTTCTTCGTCGAAAATATCGTCCTACGTCACGGCGCCCCGGAGGTCCTTATCACCGACAGAGGAACGGCATTCACTGCCGACTTAACTCAAGCGATCTTGGCATACAGCCAAACAAACCACCGCCGGACGACAGCGTACCACCCACAGACCAACGGCCTCACCGAGCGGCTTAACAAGACGATCGCCGACATGCTGTCAATGTACGTCGATGTCGAACACAAGACGTGGGATGCCATTCTTCCGTATGTGACCTTCGCATACAACACGGCGGTGCAGGAGACGACGCAGATATCTCCATACAAATTGGTCTACGGAAGGAGCCCGGCAACGACGCTCGATGCCATGTTACCCAACGTCACCGACGAAGAAAACCTCGATGTGAGCGAGTACCTTCATCGCGCCGAAGAAGCCCGACAACTTGCGCGGCTCCGTATCAAGAATCAACAGACGACCGGACAGCCACCGTTACAACCTTCGACGACGCTTCGTGGAATACCAGCCCGGTGAACGTGTTTGGGTGTGGACGCCGATACGCCGACGTGGACTAAGTGAAAAGCTTCTGCGACGGTACTTCGGACCGTACAGGGTGGTTCGACGTCTCGGCCCACTTGATTACGAGGTTGTCCCCGACGGCATCACGAACTCTCAACGACGCCGATCGCGACCTGAAGTCGTCCATGTCGCACGCCTCAAGCCGTTTCATAGCGCGTTAACAAACTGAAACAGTGTTTTTTGTATTATTGTTGTATCGTAATTTATTCATTGTACTTTCTTGCATTATTATTGTACCTTCATCTTTAGTTAAAGCATCGAGACGATGCCTTTTTCAGAGGGGGGCAATGCCACGTCCATTTCCCAAGTTTTTGTTATCGTCCCAAAACACCACACGATTCTCAGCGCAAACCGCGCCTGCAGTTTTCGAGAGGGTTCCGGACTGTAGTAGATCATTTCGATAAGATCACGCCCACTGTGCGAATGGTACAGATTGTTCTGGAACGTACGCCGCCGCCAGCAATAGCGCTAGAACATTCGACGGCGGGAGTATAAATGCCGACGCGCTTCGCCGCTTGTCAGTTGTTGATCGAAGGCCGACGCTCCGTTCGCCGCTATCAGTCTGAGACTGCTATCTGTGCGAGACTGCTGCTGTAATTGGACTTTCTGTTTACCGGGCACAGGTTCGCCCAAATAAACAGTTAAATCCCAACAAGAAGTCTCCTGTCTTCGGCCACGTCACGACCCCGTGACAATATATATATATATATATATATATATATATATATATATATATATATATATATTGATGACATTGGATGGCGGGCGCGTCATACGAAATTCTAATCGCCAGATATTGTGCAGACAAATGGAAGTGCACCCAGAAAAGTTAATTACATCATCATATTAAAGGCTAAATTCTGTTAATACCGAACTCAAACATCATGACACGGTACTAATATATTTTAACAGTTCTCTGCAATTATCGGGATGTATGTTTCTATGACATCTCCGCTCCTTGACTCCGTTGGTGACCCCCGCAGGGGCGCCTGCGCAAGTAGGCGTTTGGTGTGTAGCGACACCACGGACCCGAGCTAACGGGGGAGTTTCGACTCCCTCCCACGCCTAGCCGTGCGTGGCTTTGCCGTGTCCGGGGAAAAGGGGATCCTGGGGGTTGAGCCGACGCCGGGTGATTGGACCTTTAAGGCCCCCCGGCAGAGGCAACACACCCCTTTGGCCCCGGCTTCACGTAGACGGCACCCTGGGCTGACCCACCCAGGGGAAATCGGCAGTCGCCTTTTCCTATCTCTCTCTGCCTACATCTTCGTCTTTATCTCTCGCTATCTATCTGTCCTGTCTTCTACTCTCTTCTATTTACTTCCAATTTTCCTGGCGGCGAGGGTTAACCTTGTGTGGTGGTCCTACCTTGGGTACACCATATTTGGTTATAGCGACGATGTACAGTTGGCATGGCAGGGCTTGCTCCATCACAACCTCTGCCGTGTCCCCTTGTTGGGCTCGGTGGTGGGTGACTGGCATTGTTGCCGAACAATGTACTCATTTAATGGGATCGTCCAACATTTTCGCAAATGATCGTCCCCCGAAGCGGGGGCGCACCGATGCAACCGCTGAAATCCTCCAGAAAAAGAAAGACACCTTCCCCAAGTATCACGTCATCCACTGTGAGAACACCGACAAAAAAGTCCGTAACATTTCACCTTTCCTAGTGTCAAGGTGTCTCACTGAGACCATCGGAAGCGGCTACAAAGCCACGAAGATGGCCAGTGGGGACCTGCTGGTTGAAGTTAAAGATAAGTCGCAATATCAAAAATTGACGAACCTTGTAGCGTTTGGGGACCAACCGATAACTGTCACCGCCCACAGAACAATGAATACGGTGAAGGGTGTCGTGTCAGACGATGACCTCATGGACCTTACTGATGATGAACTCCTGGCCGGCTGGAAGGATGAGAATGTTGTACAGGTACAACGAATAAAAATCAGACGAGACAACAGGGAAATACTCACTAGGCACATAATCGTCACCTTCAACTCTAGCACACTCCCAGACGAAATAGAAACAGGCTACTTGAAGTTGCACGTCAGACCATACATTCCGAACCCAAGGCGCTGCTTCAAGTGCCAAGGTTTGGCCATGCATCACAGAGCTGCCGAGGGCAGCTTACTTGTGCTAAGTGCAGCGCTACGGGACACTCTGCTGATGACAACTGCAATGCTGAAGCTCACTGTGCAAATTGTGATGGTGACCACCCGGCGTACTCGAGATCCTGCACAGCTTGGAGACAAGAGAAGGAGGTCATCACTATCAAATATAAGGAAAACATAAGCTTCCGCGAAGCCAGACAGCGTCTCTCACCGTACCTTGCTAAAAAGTCATCATTCGCCGAAGTGGTGCAACGGGGGCCAGCACCACAACGGCATCAGGCGGCCGTCCAGGCCACGCGTAGTGCGCTGAGGCGACCGCCCCTCGCCCCCACGGTGGGAGCAGCCACGGCTGTCCTACCCTCCCCTAACGTGGCCACACTGGAGGCCTCTCCTAGACCTGGCACCAGCCGGGACAGCTCAGAGGCCAAAGAGGTCCTGCCGACCTCTTCTCTGGTGGGGTCAAAGGCCTCGTCTGCCAAGACGAAGCCAACACAACGCCATCATCGCTCGCTAGAGCAACTGTCCGACGTCTTGCACGAGGCGATGGACACTACTTCTGGCCCAGCGGTGCAGGCAGCGCCTAAGGAGCGGCGAGACACTCTCGACCGCTCCAAAAAAAGCAAAACCCCAATTACAGGGCCAGAAAAGGGCCCTGTAAAATAAGTGAACCTGCACCATTTTGGAACTCGCATTTTTTAGTTCTTTTAGAAGCAAGTCACCTCCATTCTACTATATCCTACTCACTTGTCCTTCGATTTTTAAACTTTTACATTCAACATGGCTTTTATAATTCATTGGAACTGTAGAGGGCTTTTAAACAATTTTGGTGACGTAAAGGAAATACTACACGACTTTTCTCCTGTAGCCTTGTGCCTTCAGGAAACCAACCTAGGTGATCGATATCAAAACATCCTAAAAGGCTTCACTGTTGTGCGGCGCGATCGTACGCAGGCAAGCCGACTGTCGGGCGGTGTGGCTGTTGTTGTTAAAGGTGGTATAGCAGTGAGAGAAATTCATATTAATAGTCATATAGAGGCCGCCGCCGTTACCATTGTAGCGCACAAACCATCACCGTCTGTTCCCTCTACATTCCACCGCACACGCAATTCACCGTAAGCGATTTAGAATTAATTTTAGACCAACTACCCGAACCTTTTGTGATAGCAGGTGATTTTAATGCACATAACACGCTTTGGGGTAGTAAAACAGTTGACTCTAGAGGACAAACACTTGAAGATTTTATTTTAGCCAACGATGTTTGTCTTTTAAATTCTGGCGCTGCCACTTACTGCTCCCCAAGTTCAGGAGCTATGAGCTGCCTGGACCTTGCGCTATGCTCTCCAGCGCTGTTCACAGATTTTAAATGGAAGGTAATAGATAATCCATACGGTAGTGACCACATGCCTGCACTCATCAGTCTAACCACAGCACTTCCTACCATACCCTCCAGACCACCCCGCTGGCGACTTCATTTGGCAGACTGGCTCTCTTTACCGATCAAGCCAGTCTGGATAAAGAGAGTCTAGATAATCTGAGCGTAGATGAAATGAATCAAAGGATTACAACGTGTATAATCGCGGCAGCAAAGAGAGCTATCCCTCAGTCTTCTGGTTGCTTAAAAAAGAATTTGAAGCCCTGGTGGACGCACGAATGTACAGAAGCCAAAAAACTCCAAAATAAAGCCTGGGGTATCTTCCGGAGGTACCCGACGTACGATAACCTCATCTCCTTCAAAAAGGCGAAAGCGAAAGCTAGATATGTTCGTAGGCAAGCCGAGAAAATCTCCTGGCAAAACTACGTTTCATCCATAAACAGCTCGGTCACATCCAAAAGAATGTGGGATCAGGTTCGCAAGTTTAATGGCAACTACGCTGCCTATACCATCCCCTTTCTTTCAACAACAGGTACTCAGACATCCCTACAGGAACAGGCAGACCTATTAGGGCTTCACTTTACAACATATCTAGCTCAGCAAACTATTCAGAAACGTTCCTAAGGCACAAGCAATCTATAGAAAAACAAAAGCTTCCTACAGCAGGTTTCTTAGACTTGCCATACAATGCGCCTTTAACCATCCATGAACTGAACACAGTACTTTCCACAGGTAAAAAAACAGCGCCTGGTCCTGACACAATACACTATGCAATGCTCGCCCACCTGTCGCCAAAAACAGTCGAGGCCCTTCTGTTTTCTTCAACGTTATTTGGCAAACTGGTCGAATGCCCACGGATTGGAAGAAGGCCATTATAATCCCATTCCTAAAAACGGGAAAAGATTCTACATTAGCAAACAGCTATAGGCCAATCGCACTTACAAGTTGTCTTGCAAAAACTTACGAGAGTGTCATTAACATCAGGCTTACGTACGTCCTCGAAACAGAAAACTCACTAGATATCCACCAATGTGGGTACAAAAAAGGTTGTTCAACAATTGACCACCTAGTTCGGCTGGAAAACACAATACGAGAAGCTTTCTTACACAAACAACACTGCCTAGCAGTCTTTTTTGATCTTCAAAAAGCCTACGACACCACTTGGAGGTATGGTATTTACGAGACTTGGCGGATCTGGGAATCCGCGGCAGAATGCTTAACTGTCTCTCCGACTTCTTGTCCAACCGACCTTCCAGGTCCGCCTTGGCGTGACACTCTCTCGTGTATTTACTCAAGAAAACGGTGTACCTCAGGGGTGCGTTCTGAGCACTACACTTTTTGTTGTGAAAATGACTCTGTAAACAAAGTTATACCATCCACACTGATGCATTCTCTGTACGTTGATGACCTCCAGATTGCGTGCCGCGCGTCTAACATGGTGACATGTCAACGACAGACTCAAATCACGTTGAACAAACTAACACAATGGGCGGAGAAAAACGGCTTCTGTTTCTCCGGGGAAAAGACAGTTGCCGTAGTGTATTCTCAGAAAAGAGGCTTGCAGCCGGACCCAATTCTGAACTGAATGCAACAGTCCTACCAGTTAAACAAGAGCACAAGTTTCTAGGAGTCATATTTGACAAGAAACTTAACTTTCTATCACACATTACCAGTCTAAAAATTAAAGCGACTAGGGCACTCAATGTCCTCAAAGTTCTGTCGCGGAAGCGGTGGGGCGCTGACCGTAAGTGCCTTCTGCACATATATCGTTCATTGGTGCGCAGCAAATTAGATTATGGAAGTGTAGTTACGGTTCAGCGAGACAATCCTACCTCAAGAGACTCGACCCCGTACATAACAAGGGATACGCTTGGCAACCGGTGCATACCGGACCTCGCCGCTTCCCAGCTTGTACTCCGAGAGTAACGAACCGGCACTGGACAGCAGACGAACGCAGCTAATGCTTACATATGTCCTAAGAGTTCGCTCATCGCCAAACCATATATGCTACAACATTATCACACACTGTGACAAACGACTCCATTACACAAACAAACCAAACGCAATAAGGCCACTTATACTCAGATTCGAAGAAAAATGTCGCGAGTGTAACGTCCCTACAGATGCCCTTTCTGTTACCAAAAGGCCAAGAAGGCTGCCTCCCTGGAAAAACTTTACGCAATTTCTTGACCTCTCATTGACACATCTCAAAAAACAAGGTACACCACGTGAACACATATTGCAAGAATTTCGCATCGTTCAAGAAGGTACAGCACATACAAAGAATTTTACACTGATGGCTCCAAAACGGCTAGTTATGTCAGTAGCAGTGTAGTCCAAGGTGCGTGGGAAGAAACAGTCAGATTACCACGGTTTGTTTTCAGTTTTTACTGCTGAATGTTATGCCTTGTGGATGGCAGTAAAAGAATTGAAAGTGCTAGATACAAGAAAGCAATACTTTTTACGGATTCCTTGAGTGCATTGAAGGCCCTCCATATACGCTCTCAATACGAACCCTTCATCGGCGACATTTTAAGCGTATTATCGCGTCTAAGTGAAGGACAAAATATCCGGTTCTGCTGGGTCCCAAGTCACGTCGGGATACCCGGAAATGAAAGGGCAGATCAGTGCGCAGCAGCAGCAAAAAACTTAAGTATCTCGCAAGTAAATGTTCCCGTTAGGGATAGTATCCGCGCAATCCGTACAGCGCTAACATCTAAATGGCAACGGGAATGGAATATGACAGGCAACAACAAACTTCAACTAATCAAGCCATTCCTAAATGAATGGAAGTCATGTTACCACCAAGAACGTTTTATCGAAGTAATCCTGTGCCGTCTTCGAATTGGTCACAACGCACATCACTCATAATTACTTGTTAAAACAAGAAAAACAGCCAACATGTGATAAATGCGATGAACCTCTAACAGTGTTGCACATCTTGCTTACATGCGCACATTTGGAAGCACATCGAAGAAACATTTTTACACCTTGTACAAGTTACGCATTCCACGTCACCCCATGTTCCTTCTAGGAGATGACGCGCTGATACCCCTAACTGACGTTGTCAACTTCTGGATGACACCAAATTTCTAAATAAGTTATAAGAAGCACGCCATCGTATTTGTACGGTACAGATCTGCAAGATTCACGAACCTGTGTGGCCACAGCACGCCTCTTGCGAGAGGTCAGTGCTGTGACAGCTTCTTTTGAACACAGCACTTACCTCCTGGTCCTTGCGCACAAGGACACAGGTGAGGCGGGAGTGCTGGAGCGATCCCCTCACATTTTTTGACAAAATCACCTCACGCACATACCATACCCATTGACCACGCCATGTACCATGTCCATAATTTTAAAAGTATATACATTACGCGATTGGTTTTAGGTCTCTATACAGCCGCACAACATTATTCATTTTATCCATTAGTCATCGTCAACCGCGCATTCATAGTCATGACCATTGTAAAGGAAAAATCACCTGGACGACGAAGCACATTTTCCCCTGACTGACGGATTTACTCCCTCAGAGAAAATAGTTTTTCAATCAGACTTTCACAGCACAATGTATGCCGAGCTAACTAGTGACGTTTTCTTTTGCTCTTTTTCTCTCCTTTTTTCACCATGTGGCTGGCGCAGCATAGCCTTAGTTGCTTTTGCGCCACTAAACCCAACATAACTAACTAACTATCCGTTGGTGACGCTCTTGCGAGGGGCCATTTTGAATGTCTTGGTGTCTGGCGTTATCTAGAAGAGCTATGCCGGCGCATTCTGCCGGCGCAGTCACCAGAATTGATACTGTAGCCTGACGTCACGATAGCGTCAATGTCAGCAAGTGCACCATGAGAAAATTGATTCTAATGTCAAAATAAACGATCAGCGTTTAATGAGATGTGCCCTTTTTTCAGTGCCGTCTGTGTATACTGGAGACTTGTATGGCAAACTTCTGTAGACACGCAGGTTGCGAGAGGTGTGATCAACTGCAAGGGCGATAACGTTAACGTGGGTGGTAGTTATTGTAGATCAAACAAAAAATGAATATATATAGTTTATGTGCCGGTGGTTGACTCTGACAAAAAACAACAGGGAATGTTATCAATAACACTTGTAAAAAAAAAAAACTTCGAGGACGCTTGGTATTTGCTTCGATTCCCGTAACGCATAATTATTCTCGGTTTGCTCCGTAAACATTTGGTATATCTGTCCATAGATCAGCGCTCTTATTATATTATACCTAGTAAAAATGCGGTCAGTTACTTTAGAAATGTTCTCACCAGTAAACGTTTTACAACGGCACAAATAAAGCATGATTTACTTCAATTGGTCCAATTGGCCTTTCGTATATTGGTCCAGAGGTCGAGGGGACCTCCTTAGCTGCTGGGTTACCCTGGCTGCTGCAAGAGCTTGCAGCGGCCGCTGGTGTAGCCGTGGGGACGAGTGGCAGGTCAGCCTTGGGGAACGCCAATAACAAGAGCTCAGCAAAAATGTCAAATGGTCATTTTGTTTATGTAGGCTTAGAATACCATCTGGTTGGGTTGTATTCCAAGGCACAGTGTGAAGTTCAATATGTCGACAGCGCGTCTCCATCGACTCCTTAACATCGCTGGACTCCAACGATGAGACGTCACGACTCTGGGTTCGGAACATGGTTGATCGTATTGTTCGTGTTTGTAGGAAAAGCCAGCCAACGCTAAACGACTTACTTGCGCTCTTTCCGCGACGATACCGGTCATGTAAATGTCTTCGAGAGTAAAGAAGCACTCGTCGTGAGTAACGTCCTCTAGTGCGGAGATGGCGTCACTCGAAATCAGATATCCCGTGCCCGAGAGGAAGTCCGGATACGTATCTGGCCCGTATTTATCCCTAGACACGTACCACTTGGAAGCTACGTTCCGATGGGGTCGGAAGCCGCGATACAGATAACCCCACATTGAGCGCTTGACTCCTCCCAAACTGTTCGCTACGACAGCGAGGTCCCACACACTGAGCAGAACGTCGTCGTCTATCTTGAGCACAAAGTCAGTATCTGAGCACTTTTCTCGGGCCCAGCGGAGCAGCATCACACTCTTACAAGTAAGGTTCTCGTAGCTGTCGACGAAGTCACCTTGGACGACGTCGCCGTGAATGTCGTGCTCTGCCGACACCTTCCTCTGTACTTCCTGGTACGGTGTCGCTCCCAACAGAAAGACTACAACGAAGCCCATCGTGAGGGCCGTTCTTCCCCAGGTATCCCGTATCGCCGCTCGACTCTCGAAGTTGTCAGCGCTCGAAACAACGCCTATAAGTATGGTGGTTCGGTTGGCAGTTCGTTCACAAAATTTTACTTTCGTTCGGTATTGAAATGATACTTCTCTATTATGAAGGCCACATCTCGTTGATGAAGAGGGTAGCACAAACTGATATAGGAAATAGAGGATGCACACAATGATAAGAAACGGTAGCGCCTGCAGTAGTATAAAGTGCCGTCGTATTCGAAGAAATGGTGCTTTCATGGCAAGATCAACGTACTGCCGATGGGAGCAGCGAAAAACTTGGAAAGCTATGCGTGTTACTCTTCTATTGCTCTCTAGCTGGCAAATCTTACTAAACGTGAGCTTTTTGAACTTTTGATTGTAGCAGGTGCAAGCTGAGTGACGTCACTGTGACGTCTTTTAGTTTGTTTTCTTGCCTCAGTGAGTGGTATGAGCTTACAATGCTTCGATCTTTTCGTTTGGTGAGTAACCTTTAAGCCGCAGGGTGTTTGGAATGGTAATAGATGTTTGTCATGGTTTTCACACGATAGCGTTTGAGGAATTGACACCGATTGACGACTACAAGGGGCACCTAATTGTATCTATATATCCTACCAAGATTCCACGGTATGACAGCTCAAACCACGTTCCAACAAGCCATGATCTGCCCGTTCCAGAGCTGCTTACGCCACAGCAGCGTGGGTGTAGTGCCGAAAAATCGCTGCTTGGCGCGGCCACTAACGATGATGATTGTGTGCCAGGCAAAGAATATGAAAAGAATGCAGAAGCGTATACTTTCTACAAAATTGTATGCCTAGACGTTGAAAGGAAGAAACTGCAGCGCTGTTTGACTACTGCAGTGTTGCTCGGTAAGACATGGTTTGGAGATGCCCAGATGTTTACACACCACAACTCGAAGCTTACGGCGTGTCCACCGCACCGGTGTAGAGGCTAAGATGCCTGGTTGCAGGCCCGGAATTCGCGGGTTCAGTCCCACTTACGGCAGTCACAATTCTGGGGAGGCGAATTGAATGCTAGAGATCCGTGTACTGTGTGACATTAGGACGCTATAGAGAACACCAGATGGCCAATATTTCCGGAGCCTTCTACAACGTTTTCTTTTTCATGTCAAATGTTTAGGATGTAAAACTTCAGATATGATAGTAGCGAAAGTTGATAGAACCCACACCGACGGTCAATTGAAAGTTGTTACGGCATTTTAAACGTCCCGAATTCCGGTTACCAAGCTGCCTAGTATAAGCCTGAGCACCGGGTTTAGTTGCGCTGTTCAAGTTTCTTATGATCATAAACCAACTATAACTGGCCAGCCAGCGTGCCTTTATAAGTTACCAAAATTTCTTCAACTATTGGCCACCCATAGCTTATTGAAATTTCTTCTATATCATTCAAAAGATGCCAACTGAAGAGAAGCGTAAATTTAAGGGCTGTCTCCTTTGTTAGATATAATATTGAGAACAAACAGGAAGAAAAATATAGGGGATGTTATTAGAGGTAATTGTAATATAAATGTCAAGCAAGAAAAGGGAACGAACAAATACCTTGCCGCAGGGTATTTTTTTTCTTCAACCTCTCTTCATTTGGAGCTGTTCAAATTACTGCTAATAACGTACCCTATATTTCCTGGGCATCATTGTCAGGTAGCTCTTATTATTAAACGCTAAAGCAACATCTAATTGAAAGTTGTTAAACCGTTCTTAAACTTCCTAAACACCAGGTTTTAGGTTCATTAACATAAGGACACTAAACAGCGTATTTAGTTGCGTTGTAAGCTTACTGTAATAATTCACAAAGGCAAAATTTTTAGGCATTTTGAAAGCACTTTTTAAGCGCGGGAATATGAAGGCAAAAGACACTTCAAGACTCAAATGTCCGTAATCTTAGGCAAAGTAAGTGTAGACATCTATGCAATTCGCAAAGCGAAACTGTGCGCCTCATTTATCTGTGACAGGACAGCGAGAGAGACAGAGAGAGAGAGAGAGAGAAATAAACGTTTATTTGTGAAACAGTGCGCCAGGCAACGGCTGGTGTCATGCTGAGGTGGGAGGGCTCCATAGTCCAGGAACCCTCTGGCTTCTACTACCCTCTTGGCCCTGGTGACGAGTTGTTGGTGTGCAGGTCCTCGAAGGTGAGATTCGCCTCCCACGTTATAGCGAATTTTCTGCAGTTTTTTTTATGGTAGCACAAAGGAGCTAACGGTTCAACATAGCCATGCAATTGTCCTTCTTGAGGCAAAATTCGCAAAATGCGATCTCTCCACTATAGCAATGCCGTAAAAGATCTCGTTTCGCCGGGGTTCGTGTCAGCGTTGTCCGTGAGCGATAATTCTGAATAGATTGAAATAAAGCAGGGAAAAATATTTTGTTCAAGAGGGCATTTGACGCAGGACGTCTGCGAGAAAAGCAAGTTTTCTGTCACATAGCCACGCCTGAGCTCAATATTACTGAACGAAAAAAAAAAGAATGTTATTTAGTGCAAGGAGGGCTTATTAACACATGTTAGCTTAAGTGGCAGAAGCGCAGAATCATACCAACCATCAGAACATGTCAATTTCGCAACGGGTGGTTTGATTAAAGGCCTACTAATTAAAAAGCACACAGGCATAATTATTTTACTCTATCAATAACTGTATCAACAACGTGTGCCGTTGTTGCATGGTTACGCTTGGTGTCCTATGAACACGTGGTCGGCCCTTAGTCAACTCGCAAAAGGACGCGTTATGTCGTAATGGGAACTTTCCAACTGTACTTACAATAGATTTTCAAGAATATGGTCGATGGTTTGACGAATGATTATCTGATCGGGAAGAAGCCTGAAGAACCAACGAAATGACTGAGCGCTGACCAAAATAAAAAACTGGCAGCATATCCACGAAGTGAATGATGGAAAGTGGGGCGAAGCATCCGTCCGTCCATTCGTTCTTGCTTTCGCCCGTTCATGCCTCCGTCTGTGTGACCGTCCATGCGTCCATCCGCCCATACGTGCGTGCGTCTGTTCGTGCGTCCGCACGTCCGTCCCTGCGTCCGTCCGTGCGTCCGTGCGTCCATCCGCTCATACGCGCGTGCGTCTGTTCGTGCGTCTGTTCGTGCGTCTGTTCGTGCGTCTGTTCGTGCGTCTGTTCGTGCGTCTGTTCGTGCGTCTGTTCGTGCGTCTGTTCGTGCGTCTGTTCGTGCGTCTGTTCGTGCGTCCGCCCGTCCGCCCGTCCGCCCGTCCGCCCGTCCGAGCGTCCGCCCGTCCGAGCGTCCGCCCGTCCGAGCGTCCGCCCGTCCGAGCATCCGCCCGTCCGAGCATCCGCCCGTCCGAGCATCCGTCCGTCCGAGCATCCGTCCGTCCGAGCATCCGTCCGTCCGAGCATCCGTCCGTCCGAGCATCCGTCCGTCCGAGCATCCGCCCGCGCGTCCGTCCGTCCGAGCATCCGCCCGCGCGTCCGTCCGTCCATCTATTCAACACTCCAAGTGCCACCATCTCGCATCTTTTATTCATATGGATGGATTGATGGATGGATGGATATGGCTGTACCCTTTAGATCGGGCGGTGGCTAGTGCCACCAAGCCGTAATACTTAATGAACCAAAAACTAGATTTATTTTTCCCCCTTTAAAAAGTGAGGTTGATAATTCGTACTTTGCAGTGAAGCGTTTAATTTTCACTCGTGCCTAGACTTTAGCCACCAATCATATAACCTCTTTCTAGTTATATAGTCTATTTTGCCCTCCCTGTCCCTAAACCCAACTGCTTTGAAAAACTCTGCGCCATCATCCTGAACTATAGGGCGAAGCCCTTTACAGAACATTATCAAGTGTTCGGCAGTTTCATCTTCCTCTCCACACGCACTGCATACCGTGTCTACCCCTTCGTACTTGGCCCAATATGTCTTGGTTCGCAATACTTCAGTCCTGGCCTCAAACAGTAGAGAACTACCCCGAGTATTATCATAAATTCTTTCCTTGGCAATTTCCTGCTTAAAAGTTAGATAGACCTCTAGTGCGTACTTCTTAATCATGCCCATTCTCCACATGTCAGTCTCCGTTTCCTTCACTTTCTTCTTAACCGATAGTTCTTTTTGGTTTGGCCACCTGCTGTTTTCTAAGTATTTACCAGTCAACTTCCTGGTTCGCTTCCTCCATTTTGTATCGACATTCTTCATGTACAAGTAGCTGAATACCTTCCTAGCCCAACGCTCCTCCCCCATTTCTCTCAATTGCTTCTCAATTTTTATATTGCCGCTAGCTTCCCTGCCCTCAAATGATGACCATCCCATATCACCTTGTACTCCCTGATTTTGTGTATTCCTAGGGCTCCTAAGGCAAGACTACCTATTCCACGTTGCTTAATTTCTAATCTTGCTTGAACTTCTGACCACATGCACAAGACCGCATTGCCGAACGTCAGACCAGGAACCATGACCCCTTTCCATAATCCTCTCACAACGTCATACCTATTGCAATTCCAAAGTGCCCTGTTTTTCATCACTGCTGTATATTCCTGTTACCTTTAGTCGTCACGTATATTTCGTGTTCCCTTAGGTACTCGGCCCCATTGCTTATCCACATGCCCAGATATTTGTATTTATCTGTTATCTCTAGCGTGACCGCCTGTATTCTAAGCTCACTACCTTCATTGTCATTAGAAATCATGACTGCTGATTTTTCCTCACTGAATCTGAAATCTAACCTATCTCCCTCATTACCGCAAATGACCACCAATATCTGCAACTCTTCCTTGTTGTCGGCCATTAGCACTATATCATCTGCGTACATTAATGCTGGTAGTGCCTGTTCGATGAGTTTTCCTTGTTTGACGAAAGAAAGGTTGAAGCCCAGTCCACTTCCCTCTAATTTGGCCTCTAATCCTTGTAGGTACATCATGAATAATAAGGTGGACAGGGGACACCCCTGCCTGAGCCCCCGTTTGACCTCTGCAGGCTTGGGTACCTATTTTTCCCACTTTCTAACT